TATTAATACCTTATACTATTTTCCATCATCCCTGTATTATTAAAGTAGTTTTAATTTCCAACCCATAGTCTCTCTCCCTTTTCTCCGTCCTTTCCCCTCCCGGAGGAGGGAGGGGTTGACAGAGAGCATCTGCCACCCGCTTTAACAGCCGGCCCAGCCTTAAACGGTGACACGTGGATATAAATCTTTTCTGTCTTAATACCATACAAGTATGGAAACAATATGTATTTGCTTTCTTGCGGTACCTTCTTTTTCCAGTTAAAACTGAGTTTAAGTATTTCTTCACGGCCATTTGCTTTCGAAAGCGGCTGTAGTTGTCAGTGAAGACAGCGTCAGAGTGGCGTTTGACAGGACTGTCCTGGAAGCTAGCAATGCAGCAATTACAAAGAAGAAATTAATAGACAATATCTGTTTAAAAGAAGATACTATTAAATGAGTAAAACAAATTGTACAACGTCGATTAGCTAAATAAAATCAAATTTTCATTTCAGCTTTCATTTCTAACTATGACTTTGGATTTTTCTTCTGTCGAGAAGAAGCCACTGCTTGTACTGCTTACTAGGTATTTTAGTAACAAGGATCAAATTCTCAGGGTTGGTATCCAGTCTTTTTGGGTACATCTTCTACTGATTTCTTTCTCCTGCTCAACTTTGCCATGGCCCATGCAATTAGGATCCATACTCAATGACTTCCAGAGTCCCTGTCCCAGGAATTCTGCAGGATCAAATGGCCGAGTGTGGATTTCACGACTCCCTCCTGTCTGTTCTCATAGCCCAGGTTACTCTTTTTAATAAACTGACTTTATTCTGATTTATACATTTACGCAAATGATAGTTTAGTACAATGCCAAGGTGCGGACCGGTTTAAGTCACGGTAAGCTCTTCAAGGACCTGGTCGCTGCTCAGGGAGGAGGGAGCCTGCCTCTGAGCAAAGTAAGAGCGTAGCATCACATACATAGCTACAAATGCTTGGTTTAAAGAGGTATCTGGAGACAAAATGCATCCTGTGAAATCCAGACTGGGAGGACTATTTTTCATGCGCGATCTTGGGAAGTCTCAGTGTGTTCTGCTTTACATGACCTATGTTAGTTTATAGCGCAAGAGAAACTGGCACTGTATGTTCTGAAACAAAGGCAGCACTGACATAAACGCGGGACCTAATTTTTACTCAGCTTTTGAGCGTATGAAGTAGGCACTCAAAGGAACTGTCATATAGGGTCGGACCAACGTATGCTACTATTGCATTCCCAAGAGTGCCCAGTAGCTGCTGCTTAGGGATATGAAAACAAGAGAAGTATACAGTGATGTTTCCCAGCATCCCGCGACCATTAGTTTATGAACATTCTGGTCTGGAAGTTGCATCCAGATCCCTTGTCTATGCATTTGCCTCATTCTTTTTTGAATCCTTCTGTAATACAGATCTCCCAAACATCTGGCAATATGTTCTACAGTAGGAAAAAAGAAATCATTCCTTTTTGTTTTCACTTTAAACCAATCATTTCTTAATTTCATTGAGCATTCCCCTGTTGTTCTTTAAGTACTGAGTAATGTATTTACTTTTGCCATTCATCCGCCAAGCTAGTAAAAACACTACCAGAGAAAAAAAATTAGCAAATTGGTGTGACAATCATTATAATATTGCCAGTATCTATTATCAGTGCCATGTGCAGTGTCTGCTGCTCTACCCCTCACAGCTGTATCAGGAATAAATAGCAACGTATTCACTTAGTAACAAATACCACAAAGTTGTTGATTTTCAACTCCCCCATCATTATATCAGTTTCTCTTTCGTTATCTCTAAATTGCAAAAATGAGAACTTAGTTACAGAAAGGTAAAAAATTGCCAGTGAAGTCAGCTAGGAAAAAACTCTACCTAATGTAAGTGTCACCTCACCTAACTCGTTTTCTAATATGCGAATGCAGATATCTCTTCACAGCAAGTTTAGCCAAAAGATGGCTGCAGACACTGGTGAAAATTCCATCAGCATGCCTTGCATTTCTGAAATGGACAATAAATAAACTCTACAATACAACCTGAGTTCATATCATTTTGATAACGTTCATTTTGTAAACATACTGCTTTCCTTAAGTTATCTATTGTAAGTATTAAATTAAGCTAATTTCAGAAAACAACTTCCAGATTTTCACAATACACTTTTCAGCCCTTCCTGGGAAGTGAATGAATTCATCACGCCGGAATGGCAACGCAATCAACATTTCTGCAGACATTCCTATTGCTACGAGAATTCAACCAGAGACCATGTGGGTTTTTTTCTGTAATTGAGTCCTCCTTTCCTATTTCTCAGTTTGAAAATGTGACCGATCTTTTGGCATAATTCAAGTAGTGCATCATCATTTGTATTTATGATAATAAAGAAACTCACCTATCAATAATTCTGGACAGATCAAAATAGAATTTCTCATTTTCAGGTAGCGTGTTCTGCAAAATGTCTGATTCGGACTTTAATGACCCGCGGGTATGGTCAGGTTCGCTGGCTCCGTCAAATGGCATTCTGTTTCCCAATCTGTCGGAGAAGGAAACAACGTGAAGTAGCTCAGTTAGCTGAGGACAGGCAACACTTCACTGCAGCTTACCTTCTGGTTTGTGTCAAACGCACACCTACCTACTTTAATTTGTAAGGCATTTTAAAGTAGTCTGGATAAAACAAAAATCCCTTTCAGGTATAATCCATGCTCGGTGATAATCGACGTAACAGGTCCTTCTCTCTAACGCACATTTTCTAGATATAGGTTGCCATTGGACACAATTTATTCCAGTGAACAATGCATAACTGTATGGCAATTACAGCTCAAGTGACAACCATGAAGCTTTTCATAACAACTATATTTTATATAAACGATGGATGGAATTACCACCCTCCACCCATGCAAAGTGAAAACAGTTCCTGTGAAGCACTGACCTTCCAATTAAGACTTAAAATGTGCATTGAAATGCAGTATGAAACAGTTCCTAGGCCTTCTCTAAAGAAAGTAAATACACCCTCAAGAACTTCAGGCTAAATATGAAGTGCACCCATATATCTCTATGTGTTTTTATTCTCTCACATTTGAATTAATTTCCTAGTTGCAAGTTTTAAAAGGTTCACATTTAATCTTTTAAAATGTATCATGGCAATTGCTCTGTATAAACCAATTTACAGTTACCTCACATTTTCATAAACTGCTGTTTCTTATGACGTGTCGTATTTTATCACGGGCAATCTGACTGCATAGCAGTAGTTCGGCATCAGACATTTCTTCTAGCTGCTGTCATGTTCTGTGGCAGACAACAGGCTCCCATCGCTACAGTAAACCCCTACATCTGATGATGTGCAAAAATAACATACTAAACCTACGATAGGCTATAGTCCTTGTAATTTTATAGTCATTATAGCTATTAGTGCTACTTACGTATCTAAGGCATGTAAGAATTCTGCCTGGTAAAAAAGTAAAGTTGTTGTGTAAAATACACCAACTCACATCACGCCTTTTGAAAATCAGTCACTACGCTGTTTTGCTATACCGTTTTTCACAGGTCTTTTTACACTTTATGTTCCTCTTACCTAAATGCACCTTTCTGCCACCTGATTTAATTTAGTTAGACAACTAATAACAACTTCAACAATTCAAAGCACGCAGCAGTACAAAAACTCCACATCAGCCCATACGGACCACTTCCTCGCATTCATGATTTAGGAATTTTTAGGATTTTGCCTACGTAAGTCTCTGCTCTTCGAGAGATGCGTCCACCCAGCTGCGCTTCGGCCATAACGGAGCTTTCCCTCGGGAAGCGCCGGGACTGCCGTGGCGGACCGGCATCCCGTCCCGCAGCGCACTTTAACGCACATCCCCGAGGCCATCCCCCAACTCGGCGGCCC